GCTCTCCGGGATTGCCCGCCTGCATTCTTTTTTTGGAGTAGACAAGTCCCGGAGGCAGATCAGGGGAGGTTCTTTTCTGCCAGCCTGGAGGAGTGGATATCCAAGAATGTTTTCAAAGATGACTTGCTTCCCTCTGGAATGGCGTGGTGTGATTTTTTTACAGATGCTATCTGGCTTATTTGGAAGAACAGGTGTCAGACGTGCTTCTATGGGACAGCAGGAGCGCTCACCGCTCCGTCTCTGGCGCATGCGATCGTGCACAAAGCCTCTCTCTGGCACGGTGCGTGAAGATCGGATAGCACAGCTGATCTGCGGACTCCCCTCCCTGCGGCGGAAAGAATAGTGGCCAATATTGGTTGGACTGCGCCTCCTCCGGGATGGCGGAAGCTCAACATTGATGGGGCCTCGGCGGGGAATCCCGGCTTGGCAGGTGCTGGAGGGGTTATCCGGGATGAGCAGGGAAGCTGGGTAGTTGGTTTTGTGGCCCGAATTGGAGAGGCCACCGCAGGTTTGGCTGAGTTATGGGCTCTCTTTCATGGTTTAAATCTTGCTTGGAGCCATGGCCGCTTCAATCTTCAAGTGGAAACTGACTCCCAGTTGGTTATTCAGTGAATCAAGAGTCGGGTTGACCCTCTCCACCCCCATGCCTCCCTTTTATCCTCGATAAGGAGATGTTTGGCTCGTGATTGGTTGGTCAATATAACTCATACATATCGCGAAGGGAATAGAGTCGCGGACTGGCTCTCGAAGCACAGTCTCGTCTATCCCTACGGTATGCATGAGCTTATTGACCCGCCAAGTGATCTGGGACGATTCCTTCATGATGATGAGATGGGTGTGACTTTTGAGCGTCGAGTTGTAGCTTCGGCTCCCTTGTTTTCTCCCTTCTTGGCTTTCGCCTCCCTTGATGCAAATATATATATATAGGAGTTCTACGGTACCCAGGGTGAAATCCGGGGTACCGCATACCTTGAGCAAGAAAACCCTTAAAGATCAAAATCTAGGTCTTAATTCTCTAAATCTGTACTCCAAGATCAATTTAATTAGAAATAATAATCGACGGTTATGATTCGTCCAAATATAGGCAAAAAAATCAATGTACCATCTTAGGGTTTATAGTTTATGATTTAGATGATTATGACCTAGGGTTCACTCATTAAGGGTTATGGTATAGTATCATGCCGAAAAATTCTGCTAATTCGAGGTCTAGATAGTGTTTTCATACTTAAGGTATGCGGTACCCTTGATTTCACCCGAGGTACCATAGAAGGCACCATATATATATATATATATATATATATATATATATATATATATATATATATATAAATCTTAACATGAAAGTGTATAATTATTGACAAATAAATAATAGCTTAAATAATTTTATATTTGGTGGAAGGCAGCTTTTAGTTTGGTGGAAGAGTAAGCGAAAGATATCGGAATTGCACTGAAGGGAAAAGAAGATCCAAATGACCAGATAGTCCTTCCTAAAGCTGCGCAGAAGGTAGCAATTTTAGAATTGGGTGTGCTTTCACGGGGAACGTGTATATAGTATTTGGAGGATTCTTTTAGAGGCATGTTATTTGTGGCCAATATTTTATATATTTTTAGTTACATTTTATTTATATATGACTTTGGAAAAGGATTTTTTCACAACTTATAATAACTAGGTGGAGATGCTGCGCATTGTCGCGGGGCGAAGATGGTCTATAGGCATGTATTATGTGGCTCGTTATAGTGTTTTGTTAGTATTATTAGTCTAAAATTAATCTTTCGTTAGAAGTTTTGTTAGTAATATTGAATGAGAAGAGATATATGGCGCTCAACATCCAATTTAAATTTTTTGGAAAATTTTGGCTAGTAAATGATATTTACCTATACCCAAGTAGACCCATTGATTATGGATAGGGTATGGATGACGTATATATGGGTTTAGAAGTTTGTATTCCTTTTGCTTCCCTCTAGAGTTTTTCTTTTTCTCCGGGGGTAGAATTTTCAACAAATATACATGAAATGTTTAGCTAGATATCTACATATATCAAATCCCATAGTGGAAAATGAATACTTTCTAATAAGTAATACCATATATATTTATTTTTAATTGAGCTCGACATTGAGCTGAAAAAAGTTAGTGGTTCATACCTCAATTATTAGTCCTCTAGACTGTTGGTGAGTCGTGTATTCATACTTGTGATTAAATAACATAAAAATAGTATACTAATTAGGGTTAGACGAAGAAGGCAAAGAAAGAAAGAAAGAAAGGGTTATGGAAGGCGAGTGAAAAATAAAACGAAAAGGAAATAGATGATAGAAAGATTTTGACCAATTCTTTTTAGTTGCCTGTCAATAAAACAGTCAGTCCTTTTCACCGTAGCAATTTATTGACACTTGCTTATGTAGATGTCTATATTTTGTTACATGTAGTTAGTAGAAGTTTATTTAGTACCCGATAAATGTACTAATTGAGTTTATAAATTCGCTCTTGCAATATTTTAGAGTCGTATCTCTTTTATCATTTATTTAATATTTCACGTAATGAACAAATATAAAATGGTCGAATATTCTTCTACGGTTGAGTGATATTGAGTGATACAACACATTGTACAAACTTAATTTATACTTTTATATTATGATGGATTGGATTCATGGATTGGTTCAAAAGGATTGGTGGATTGGATTCATGGATTCAAGTGGAATCTAAACATAGGACCAATATGTAAATTTAAAAAATTGTAGGTACGAAAATCTATAATGTTAGATACCAAAACATAATTGTGCAATAATTTTATTTTAAAGTTAAATTTGGGGTATCAAAATGTAAAATTTACATTATAGTAACTAAGTTATGATATAATTAAATTTGAGGTATCAAAATGTAAAATGTTAGGCAACAGTAACCTAACTTCAGTTTTATATATATTAATTATTAAACTCCCTCAACTTCTAAAAAACTTAACAATTGTTAAAATCTACATTCTTCGAAAAGTTGTCGGAAAACTTACCGGAGAAACTTTCAAACTCTATGCCCTAATTAAACCACTCTGAACTCTAAATTCAAGCCAACTTATTTTTAAATTTCAACAATAAACCTGAATTACTTCATAATTCAAATACTAAATTCACTAATTCAAACCCTAATTTAGGGTTTAGAGTTTGAATTGAAAAATAAATTAGGTTTAGTATTGAAATTTAAAAGGGTTAATACCCTAGTTTGGCCCGAAGTTTAGCGTGAGTGACAGTTCTGGCCTCATTTTTCAAATAAGACATTTACGGCCTACTTTTGAAATTTTTGGACAAATTTGGCCCGAAACTTGTGTTGACTGTTAATATTAACAGTCAAACATGTATTCTGTCAATTACTCAGCATCTTGTGCTGAGATGGCAGTAATGTGACTTCTATATCATTTTTATTTTTATTCTTTTTTTAGTTCTTTTTAGTTCTTAAAAACTTGAAAAATAAAAATAAGAAATTGAAATAAGAAACTCATGGCCAAACGCAATAAAAATCACAATCCCTAATCTTTTTCTATCGTCGGCACCGACGACGACCACCGCCACTCTCACTCCTCTTCCTCTCGACCCTTCTTCTACCCAGAACTCGTTGTCGTCTTTAACCGCCAACTCATTTCTTAGCGTTTCCTCCAGAACGGTCTTAGGGAGAAGACGAACAACCATCAGTTCGTTCGGCTGATGGAGAAGACGAACATAACCTGAATCGGGCCCGAATCCACCGATCTTGACGACGACGGAGTGGAATCTGAGGGAATGGCGACTGCGGTGGAGGAACAAGGAAGAAGAAGAGAAGAGAATCCATTTGGGCGCCGCCCGTTGAAAATTCCTCGCCGCCGAAGTGCATGTCGAAGACGAAGAAGAGGAAGAAGGAACCAGTCCCAACCAAAAGCCCTGCCACCACAGATCTTCTTCCGCAGCCGCTCGTTCCACCCCGATGATGTCTCACCCTTGAATGCGCCGGCGTGGAAGTACACAAAGACCGACAGCTTCCTCTTCTCTTCGTCTATTATGGGGAGGTAGAGGCGGGTGGAGATTCTCATAGGACAATCGGGAAGTCGCATATGCGCTTCACGGTTCCGTCTGTGTATTTCTTGATTAGGTTGGGGTAGTTCATCCTCCTATTGCTTACGGCAGAGGAAGAAGGGTTGAACCAGTGGGAAGGAGGCGGTGGGAGGAAGAGATTAGGGTATGAGGTTTGGGGGTTGGGGGTTTTGAGGTTTTTTATATTTTTTATTATTAATTGAATTACAAAATTAAAAAATATTTCATTTAATGACATGGCACAGCCACATCAGTAGTTGTTTGTTAAGTCACTAACAGAATAAGTGTTTGACCGTTAATAGTAACTGTCAACACAAGTTTCGGGTCAAATTTGTCCAATAATTTCAAAAGTAGGCCGTAAATGTCTTATTTGAAAAATGAGGCCGGAGCTGTCACTCACGCTAAACTTAGAGCCAAACTAGGGTATTAACCAAATTTAAAAATAAATTATGTTTGGTGTTTAATTTTAGAAACAATTCTTCTACCCCTCTCAAACCCTAAAACCTTATTTCTACCAAACCACCAACCTTCTACCTTGATATATCCAATCCAACTACGACGTCACCTTGGAGGCCGAATCGTTCCAACCTCCACTAACAACAATCAATTGCATAATCAAAAGACTCAATCTAGTCCCAAGAAATTCGATGTTTCGACCCCTCGGGGTACCGGAAACCTGGATCAAAGTTTTGGCACTATTCATGATGTCTTCACCCAGGACATCAAATCGAGAAATGAGCGATTTCTATACGTTTAGGACCACATTTCAAGTGACCTATAAAGGTTTGGGTCATTTCACATATCGGCAGCTCAAGAAAAGGTCATTTTACAATTAATAAGCACACTAATTACTGTGGTCGCTATAACCTTAATATTTATTCTCAGTTCTATAACATAACTTTGCTGCCATCTGCTTCAAAAAAGAGCGGGCTAATTAAGGAAGGAGGTCAGGTGAGGGAGGCAAAGATGGGTGTGCGGCAAAGGGGGCAAGTGTAGTGTGCCCGCTCCACCCATCTCTCTATGCACTTGACATGAAAAGCGTGATTGCACCTTCTCAGCTGCCACGCCCTTCCCTTCCTCAGCTCTCCCAAGCAGATGGAGCAGCTAATTGCCTCTTCCGCCTCCGCCTCCTCATAAGGTGCAGCCTCCGCCGCCAGCAGCCGCCTCACATTGATCCTGCTGCAGGCCGCCACCCAGCTGTCGATCACCAATGGCCCGTTTCCGTACCAGCAATCGGAACCGAACAGGAGCCTCACCACCCTCTGCTTCAATTGGCGCAGCGGAAGCAGAATGCAGCTGCAGTACAACACCACCGTGGCCGCGCACAGTTGAGACTCCCCGTACATTACCGGGATCATCTTTTCCCTAATTCCCTTCCCTTCCCTTGTCTTCTTCTCTGTTTCTTTTTCCCCCTCTCTCTCTCTCTCTCTCTCTGTCTCTGTAGCTAGTGGAGATAGATAGCTTAATTTCTTCTTTCTGGAAGTGGGTATATATGGAGATGGAACTTTACTTACGATGATTTCTGATATTTGAAGCTCTACTATTGGTTTGGCTTGGCTATATATACACAAAAGGGAAAGGTAAAGGTAAAGGGGGGAATGCCTTGCTAGCTAGGTAAAGAGTCAACTCATCATCTGCAATCATAAATTCCTCTGTTTTATTATTCAATTCCTTTTTCCTTTTGAAATAAACTAATACCCGACGAAGCTTACAATCAAACTCTCACGCTTCCTTGACTTGTGGGCACTACATACATTAACATTGTTTACATTTAGTATGCTCTTGACCTTCCCTCCCCTTTTGTTAACCAAAAAAAAAAAAAAACTGTCAACACCTCATTTTGTAATAAACTGATTGGTTATACTATGTGCCTATTTTTCTTCATCCTCTTCAGTTGAATCTGTGACTCAACTGATTGGTAATACATAGAATACTTCATCTAAACGCACACTAGCAAATTCAAATTTTACAGGTCTGCTCTTGTTTATTTATAACTACTTACAGTGCAGACCCGGTGTGCTCTTGAGAGAGCTTGCTTGTCAATGCCAATAAAATCTATATATCACAGAGCAATCGTTTCCTTCTTATCGCTCCGCTAGCTGGAAGTTAATCTGGGGGTTCACAGTGTTTAATGGAGTTCAAATTTTGACCACTATAATTGACTTGTGTGATGCAGATTTTATAGACGGGTCGTAGAACATACAATACAAATGCAGATTGGATGGAAGGAGTGAAGTGTGGGATATTATTATAATATGTTGCAACCCCATTTATATATAATAATAATAATAATAATAATAATAATAATAATAATAATAATAATAATAATGTGCGGGCGGTTGCAGGGGCCGGTGCCTCCCCAACATTAATTATGTTTTCCTTTTCCCCCCTACTCTACTCGTTTTCTGTTGTTGTGTAATTAAGTTAAGATCGCAACTCCCTGGCGGCCCTCACCTCATTTTAATTAATTAATAAATAAAATAGAAAAACAAAAAGAAAGACGGAAAGGAAAGGAAAGCAGTGTCAACATTAGGCATGGCAACGGGGCGGATCGGGGGCGGGTACCTACCTCCCGATCCCCGCCCGTCTAGACTGACGGATTTCCCCGTCCCCGTCCATGTAGGTTGATCGGGGGGATTTTGTCTACCGTCCCCGTGAACAGACGGATTCGGGTAACCCACGGATCCCCACGGATCATAAACCAAGGATTGGAGATGCAGGCCCGATTTTGGGGAAGAAGAGGAAGAGAAGATCGGAGTGATTGGAGCGGGCGTAATAGAAGATACGGCCGCAATTTTGAAGTTACATGATTTTGGTGATGCTGGCGTAGAGTTACAAGAGCGTAGGGAGGAGGGGAAGAAAAAGAAGGGAGAAGAATGGAGGAGTGACTAGAGGAAGAAGAGGAAGAGTGGAGAGGGAAGGGGTGGTTGGAGCCGATTAGAATAGGGAGGGAGGATAGGAAGAAGTTAGAAGAGGAAGAGTGGAGAGGGAAGGTCAACGGTCGACTGCACAAATGAAGATTAGGGTTTTTTAACCCTCAATTAGTTTATATATTAATATTTAGTGTCCAAAACGACGTCGTTTCGGAGGGCCGGGCGGGGACGGGGCGGATACCACAAGATCCATCGCCACCCATTACCCGTTACTCACGGATTTCGGGTATGTCCGAATCCGCCCTTTACCCACGATGGACGGGTAAAATGCTCACCATCTGAGTGGGTTTCGGATGGGTATCCGGCGGGCTGGTCAATGTTGCCATCCCTAGTCAACATGCGATGAGAAATGAGAATGAGATGAGATGACTCCCTGCCATCCAGTTCTTTAGATCTGTTTCTTAACTATAATGTTTATATTATCATTATTATTAAACGGTGGGATCTTCTACCATACTTTGAAGTTACTATAACTTGAACTTTTTGACCGGCTATAACATGTTGTACAGGTCGCATTGTGTAAATCTAATGTTTATTGCGTAACAATTACGTAATGTTTGTTACTGTTACGTAACAGTTAAACTAGAAGCGTTACGGAAGGTTTTCGTAACAACTTATCATTTTACGTAACGCTAGGTACATATTCATTACGTAAAAGCATCGTCTATTACATAAGGCTTCCGTAATGACATTTTAAAATTGATACATAATATACACGCTCATTACGTAAAGGTTACGAAATGATAGTTATTTCTTACGTAACAGTTAAATTAGAAGCATTACGTAAGCTTTCCGTAATGATTTAACAGATTACGTAACGAAAGGTCAATATTCATTACGTAAAATGAGTGTCTATTACATAAGGTTTCCGTAATGACATTTTTCAACTATTACGTAAGATAACACATTACGTAACCTTTTCGTAATTCCTATCGTATTATACGTAATGCGACTTGTGAAACCTGTTATAGGAGGTTAAAACATCAAGTTACAATAACTTAAAGGTATTGTAGTAATTTCCCTAAATGTGATATTTTGAAAATTGCGAATTAGCACAGCAAGGATTGGCTTAAATGCTTAATTACTTCCAGAAATGCTTAATTACTTCCAGAAATACTTAATTACTTCTAGAAATGCATAGGTGCTAATTAGTGGAAACTCCTATTCTTTGTATTGTACAATCCTTCATATATATTTGACTTACCAAAAACATTCAACCTCTCCGCAAAGGACAAAGTAGATTCATATCAACTGTCACTAGCAATGTGAGTTAGGATCAATTAAACTTGAAAACTTCATAATCGATATCAAAACTCGCAAACAATAAAAGTGAGTATTTTCTGCTTGTGATATTGGCCCAACAAATTAACAATGTCTTGTATGTACTCGATCGAGAACTTGTAAAAAAGAATCCGGGTCCTAACCTAGACTCAAAATTTTAATGAGCGTGAGAAGGGTTCGGTTAGCATGCTAATCCCTTAGGGGTTAGAAAAATGACATCTTCCTGGAATATTAAATACAATTATAGAATTTAATACACATTATGAATTAAATGCACAATATTAATTTTTTTTCAAATTAAAATCTACACTAAATACATTCTCTCTCTGTATCTGATTTTTCCTTTTTCAGCAGCCTCCGACCGCCACACTTCTCCGGTGAAAACCCCATCGGCAGACTCCCTCCGACAACCTGCAAAAAAAATACCACTGCACTGATACGTTGTACCACTACACTAGTAGCGATATCAGTGCACTGGTACCCAATGTCATATCTGAGTATCAGTGTAGTGGTACAAATACCAGTACAGTGGTACAACATATCAGTGCAGTGTAGGGGTGGGCATTCGGTCGGTTCAGTTTGAACCGAACCGAATAGGGCACTACCGGTATTCCGATTTCACCTGCAGGGCAAACCGATTTCGAACCGAATTATATTTCGGTTCGGTTTGTCCGAACCGAAATATATTCGGTTCGATTCGGTTTTCTGTCCTAAACCGACAAGTGCTAATGTGCCGCGTTTTGGTGCTGCTGGGCAATAGACCCCAAACCCACAGACCCATTTATTTCCCTCTGACTCTTCCTCCCCCCACTTTTCTACCTCTCTCTCTCTCTCTCTCTCTCTTCCCCTTCTCCACTTTTCTCCCTCAAGCTCTCTACCTTCCTTACCTTTTCTACCCACCCCATCTGCCACCATTAAAACCAACCCACAGGACAATTTCCATTGCCCCAGAGAAAGAAGGGAAAAAAAAGCAGAATAGAAGGGAAGGAATGAAGATGAAACGCGACCCGCTGCTGCAAATCTTCCTCTACTTGTGTCCCGATCGATGTTGCAGATAACGACTCTGACTATGAGGAAATTCGAAGGTATTATTTCTATTTGAGTTGCATGTTAGTTTGGAGATCTTGTTTCGCATGGGGAGAGAGGATCGCGAGATCTGATTTCTGACCTTCGCTTCTGTTTTCGATTTTTTGTGAGGTTGAAGCCTCGAAGGGAAGAGAGGGACCTAGGGCGGAGAGAAAAGATGGACTCATGGCGAAGAGAGAAGATGAGAATCGAGTTGGTGGAGACTGCAGGAGATATGAGAATCGGCTGCAATCTATAGTTGTTGTTAGGGTTTAGAAAGGTTGGGCTGGGCTGGGCAGTCAGTTGGTTTTGGGCGTTAGGTGGGCTATGTAAGTGAGTGGGCTTGTTTAGTTTGTGGTCTCCTTTTTTTATTTTTTCGGTTTTTCGGTCGGTTAATCGGAATTCGGGTTCGGTTGTGCATACCCTGGTTTCCGAAATGTGGGGTTTTGCCTTCCGAATTCCGAACCGAACTAATGCTATTCGGTTTCGGTTCGGGTTTAATCGGTTTCGGCTCGGTTCGGTTCGGGTTTACCGAACCGGATGCCCACCCCTAGTGCAGTGGTATTTTTTCGCAGGTGACCGGAGAGAGTCTGTCGGCGGGATTTTACCGGCGAAGTGTGGTGGTCGGAGGAAACTTAGCGGTCGGAGGCTACTAGGAAAGGAAGAATCAGAGATAGGAGTGAGAAAGATAAAAATGGGAGAGAGAATTGTATTTTATATATGTTTAAATTTTTAAAAAAAACAAGTAATTAATGTGGTGTATTTAATGCATAATTTGTATCTAATAATAAAACATTTATTATTTCTACCTTCATTAACACTTATCAATAATTAATGAAAAAATTGACCAATTGAAAAGGGGTGTCAAAAAACCAAGGATAGGCATTTTAAGGATAGACAATTAGACATAGTATCCTTCTCCGTGATAAGTAAAAAGAATAAAAGTGCATATGAGTTTAGCCGAGACAAAGGCAGTACTCCAGCTGCGCTACGCTGATTCCAGTTAAGTGACTCTTCTATGTTTTACTTTGCCCACCCCATCCAAGTTTTTGTTTTTGTTTTTTTTT